TTTCATATACACGGATAACCGCCGCCTTTTCTAGGGCGAGCTGTGAAGAAAAGCGACGGACTATCCAGGTAACTATCTCTATATGCGAGCTACCGCTATATTTACATTGGCAGAGGCATGTAGGAACTATATCCGTGTACATTCTCTCAGGCAGGGACCCACGGAAGGGTTTAGAATTGTATGAAGATGTGAATGTGAGTGGTATATGGTATTCTGAAAATACAGTAGGCACATCCCATTGCAAAAGCCAGATCTATTATGCAACAAATGCACCTGTCAAACGTCATTTTCACTTGAAGATGACATTCAACCTCATGCTGAACGGCAACCCGGGATCTGTCACCGCAACCTCCTCGCCACTCACGACAAGCTCGCTCATTTTCTTGTCCAGATTCGGGCGTGTGAGTGCGTTGAGTTCGGGCGGTCCCTGGTAATAAAGCTTCCGACGTTCCGTCGTAAGTGTAGGCTTCTGGATTTGCCTGTTGATTCACACGTATCAGTATGTATTTGTCCATATATGGCTACAACGGCACTTACACATCTGGCTTCGCCTTCAGCTTCTCAATAAACTCGTCCAGGGTCCAGTCAGGCGAGATCTCAAAGTTTGTGGCTAGGTTGCCGCACACCGGACAGTCTTCTTTCTTCTCGTGCTGAAACGTATATGTATAAATACCATCTTCCCCATTGTACATCATGTAGTTGTCCAGCCATGGGTTGGCGTTCGTCAAGAGCTTGAGCGCTTCGTTGCAACAACTGGCCGCAATAATAGCGTTGGTCGAGGCAATGGCAGGAATGATGTTTTTCACAACACCCTGGGTAAGCATATAGGTTATACCGGTGATGTTGAATTCTTTAGCGCGAGCAAGTGCAGCTTCATACAGCCACTGGATGTGCTCGGGGTCGTCGTTATCCAGTTTCTTATCTACCCCATCTTCATCAGCAACACATCTTCCGCAAGCAAGCAAGAATGTCAGTCTACCCCCAAACACCCTAGGCCACTCCAGAACACTCGCCCACTCGATACAATGTTCCGGTTGTCTCGGAATCGACGCCAGCGTACAAATCGGCACAGCTGTACGCGGAGTGAGCATATCCAGAGAGCACTCATAGCAACTAGTGATTGTCGGCAGTATCACCCTGGACTGTCCCTTGAAGCCCTCGGTGCCACCGTCAATCAACGGCTTCAAACTCTCCATATTATTCGGATCGACCATATCCACTAATGTAGCGTTGATCCACCGCCTCGCCTCCACCGAGTCCAGCCCGCATATCACCAGCTTGAACTGCATGTAGTAATCATGACCCTTATCCTGGATAGCGCCGTAGTATGGAGTGATCTTGCAGCCCTTGACTCTATTCATCACAAACTTGGCTGCCACCTCCGCCTTCGGCTTACCGATATCGGTTTCGCGGAAGAGGAACTGTCGGTTGAGATTCGAGACATCGATAGTGTCTACATGGCGTCTCCCGTAAGTTGGTGCTGGGGCGCAAGAAGGGGTGTGGGGGGAGGAGCCTCACCCATATCAATAACGTGGATATCCGTGAACCCCGACATAGCAAGATTCTTCAAGATCTCGCACCCTAGACCTCCGGCACCTCTGGGACCAATGGAGTAAGCTTGGATAGTTGTTTTTCGAAGGCGGTTTGTGTGAACCTACATTACCCTTGTGTGCGGGGGGGGGGGCTTGTTAGCAGCAGTACCGTATGGTCATGGACCGTCTTGCGACTTACAGAATTTTACAGTCATTCAGAACTGACTCTTTCTGCGCTGCGAAATTGTAGTCTTCATCGGTAAACGCGCCAGGGCGGGAGATGATGCGATTCAAGTCCCTCCTACTCTCGGATCAGTGAATAAATCCGTTTGTAGAGGTGTGGAGATACCGACCATCGAGGACCCTCTGCGTATCCCATGTTTTGATGTTGGTAGAAGAAAGGAGTGGTTAAGCGTGGTTGACAGCTCTGAGGCTGATAGTGGGGCAATGAGTTGTTGGTGTTTCAATTAGAGTGAAGCTCTGCGGCTCTGGGAGCTGGGACAAAGCCTCAAAAAATACTCACAACGTACCTATTCACATTCACAAAAGCACAAACAATACGTTATCACACTTTTATTCATTCATTCACAAAGCTAGAACTACAAACGCCGAAACAATTTGATTAACATGAAATGATGCTGCCCCTATCCCCCACGCATATCTACCGCGGTTTCTTCGCCGCAGGCCTTGGTTTGGCCTCGTCTTCCTTGATGGGATGCAACATAACCTTGTTGGGGTACTGAGGGCTGTTTCCAGCGTGTCCCTTACTCCAGTCGTAGGACACAGCGTATGCGAAGATGGTGCCGTTCCTGTTGAAAGCGGTGGCTGGGATGGTTCCGCCAACAGTAGGAAAGCCCTTGAGACGGTGTTTGGCGTCCTTGTCCCTGAAAGCGGGTCAGTATAGAGATATTGGTTAGGGGATATTCTGCACATACCAGAAATGGAAGGTTCCGTCCGAACCAGCCGTGGAAAATGTTCCGAAAGTCGGGTGGAAGGAGATTGCATTAACGCTGTATACGTTTGTGGTCGATCCGGATGGGGGATCGCGGTGGCACTTGAAAGAGAAGTTCATGCTGGGTGATCATGTCAGTGTCGACCGTGACAAGATTGTAGATGGAAACACATACCCAGAATTCTTCTCATCCACATACTGAATCGCACATCGACCCTCGATACTGCCAACAGCGAACCCAGTGGCATCCGGGAAACAACTAATTACACGAGTCTGCCACTTCAATGGACTTTGCATAGTCTTGAATAAGACGGTTGGATTTCCCAGGTTGACAATGTTGATATATCTCTCGGCAGTTCCAATAACCATCAAACCCTGTGAAACATCCAACGTGTAGACTCGTTCCTGCATGTCGAGCGTCCCAACGGGGTTAGGTGTCCTTAGGTCCCAGTATTTGAGCTTCTTGTCCCAAGAACCCGTAACCAACATCTCCCCAGCAGTATTTGGTGCCTGTATGAACCGGACACACTTTATCGGCTGTTCGTGGGCGGCCACCTGCGTTGATTGCCCAGTCGAGATGTCAAACAACTTCGCCTGCTTATCTGCACCCCCAGAAACAAGCTTTGTTCCATCCTGCAGATGTTTTTAGTACTCAGGGCGTCTACACGGTGGGGTAAGGTGGGTGGGTACCTTTGACCATACGCAGGATAGTACAGGTGCATCATGCTCGTACATCGCTTTGCCAGCCGAGTTTCCGTCTGCGGCGATTTCGTAGATGCGAACCTTCTTGTCCCAGCTCGATACTGCAAGGTGTTCGGACTGGGGAGAGAATGCGACATCTGAGATACTGTCCTCCGGTGGTGATTGCAGAGGGATATCATTGGAAGTGTCGCCGAGCGCCTGGGCGGTAGCGGTAGAGGTGTTGGTCGCTGCTGCTCCTCCACCGAAAAGAGACATCGTGGATTTGGATTTGTGGTTGGCGTGGTGGCGGGTAATACGGCGATGTGGTGAGGTGATCCAGAGGCGGGAGGTAGAAGTTGGAAGACGCGAAGGAAGCACGAACAAACGCGCATTGCACCCTGTTTGGGCCTGCCCAGCCACTATGACGCTATGACTGGCATTGGTTAGCGTGAGTCACTGCCTCGACGCCTCACCCACCCTCCTCCCTGTTGCGTTTATTTATACGCCAGACCCCTTCTTGTTCCCTTCCTGACAACACACACACATAACAACAAATCGCCGCCACAAACCTTGAGCTCAGACACCACACAGCATTTGACAATTCAATGTGCCAACTGAGCAGTCTAGCACCGCGATGAAGACGCAGACAAAGACAGCGACCACCACAACAACAATAAACAATACACGTCTCAAACACACACGAACCTCTCATCTCTACCGGGCCTTGTCCAGAAGATGAACGGATGTACGAATATATACCACCTACTGGATTGACGCGCTTCGTCTTGCTTTCTCTCATATCACCATCGCATCTAGAATCATGTGCCACCTCGCAGCCAACATCTACCAATCTTGCTGCCATCGCGGGGACGTCGCGATAGACTCCACTTGCGATACCAGCCAGAAATGTCTCAGTGACACGGACCCGTACGACCTCGAGAAGGTCGTCTCCAAGCCCGGTTTCTGTCCCGCGTGTCTGGCGAAACAAGCAGAAGGCCACCACATCGCTCCGTATCGGCCTCCACGCATCGGCGAACTCCTCACACTACCAACCACGCCCGAAGAGCTACAGCCCGGGTCCCCCGCACCAATCGCCCCGCCCTGCAGAACCCCTCAACCGAGCACACCGACCTCTAAACCCAAAATCACCTGGCCTCAATCCAAGACTGCGTCCGCGCATGCCGGCACAAAGACACCACAACGCAAACGCAAGATCGTTAGCTACAGAAATCGCGACATATTCTTAACTCCTAAGGCTTCATCTCCACACTCTTACGACTACGCCCCCCTTGACCGCTTCTCTGCGATTGCAGCGTCGAAAACACCTACAAAACGGCTTAGCCCGCAAACACCCACCTCTACCCGCCACCTCCACCTCCACACTCCACGACGTCTAAACAAACGACCCCGTACCCCGCTGTCTCGGGGAACACTTTTTTCCTTCGAATCCGACGGATCTCCGGTTCTACGTAAGAGACGTTCTACACCGAGTTCTGCGCGATAACCACACCTCTCGCCTTCTCTCTCTCTTTCTCTTTTGTTTCTAGAATAATGCATGGATCACGGTGTTGGGATTACTGGACAGCTAGGGGTAGGATTGTGTATTGCATCGGGGGGGGGATGGCGTTTTTGGTTTTTGGTTTTCTTTCTTGTATCTGCTATCCGGTTTCGTACTGTAAATACCAAACTTGTTTCCTTTCGAATACCTAGTCAGTCTACCAATAAATTTCCAGTTCCCACATATCCAAAGATGCCCGGGGGTTGGGGGGGAGGTGGGGGAGCTAGCCGCCAAGCCTACAGGAACCTTCGAGATGACGACGTCAGGACGTATGTAAAACCCACTCTTTCACCACCACCACCGCAAAGACCACAAACCACAATGTCACTCCACCCCCTATCACGCACGCTCCTACGCACCCTCTTCACCTTGCGCCCTTCACCCCGGATAATCCTCCCACACCCACGAATACCGCCTCCAACCCGGCGCTGGAACACCACCACCACCACCACCGCCACCCCCGAACCCCCCCAACCAAGCTACCACCTAACCTTCACCTGCCGGCCCTGCCAAACGCGTAGCACACATACCGTCTCAAAGCAAGCGTATCACGGGGGAACGGTGCTGATACAGTGTCCGGGGTGTAAGAACCGGCATGTTATTACGGATCATTTGAAGGTATTATCCTTACTACTGAGGGGGGGGAAGGGGGGGGGCTGATTAGGGGGGTGGGGAATAGATTTTAGGGGATACGAGGAGGACGTTGGAGGATATTTTGAAAGAGAGTGGGGAGGTGTTGAAGAGGGCGAGGTTATTAGAGAATGGGGATATGGAGTTGTTGCCTGAGGAGGGGGAGGGGGAGGGTGGGGAGACGGCGGTGATTGCGGAGGGTGGTGCTGGGGAGGGG